GGACTAATAGTTATGGTAATAATCACAGTAGACTGTAGTATAAACTAATAGGACTAATAGTTGTGATAATAATCACAGTAGACTGTAGTAGAAACTAATAGGACTAATAGTTGTGATAATAATCACAGTAGACTGCAGTAGAAACTATTAGGACTAATAGTTATAATATCAATCACAGTAGACTGCAGTAGAAACTATTAGGACTAATAGTTATAATATCAATCACAGTAGACTGCAGTAGAAACTATTAGGACTAATAGTTATAATATCAATCACAGTAGACTGCAGTAGAAACTATTAGGACTAATAGTTATAATATCAATCACAGTAGACTGCAGACATTTCTTTCTATATTCCTGTTCATTTTATTTGTATGTTTGTTAATATTTTAATTTAATGACATTGCTTCAGGAAAGATAATTTTTTTATTTTTTCTGAGAGGTTAACTAATTTTTCCTCTCTTAAAATAACTAAGTTCCTTTATAAGTACTTACAACAAACTCAGTGTCAAATGTGTATTCTTAAGTGTATAAAATATAATTTGTAATAAAGAATATTAACCAGTAAACATCAATAATCTCTACTATGTGTAATAACCAACTTACTGATAACTTTTTGATACAAATTCAAATAGAATGGTTTCTTTTAATTAATTATTAGAGTTTTTAAAAATAACTGTACAAGTATTCACCATTCTGCTACAGATATATCTTTGTGAATGGTTTTCAGTGCAGAAGAAAGGTTTGGGTAACAAGCCAATTGACCACCATAAACATTCCTTAAGTGGAAACAGAATTAAACCATAAAGTATTATACTAGGTTAAGAAAACAGGAAAAAAAAACAAAATTTAACAACTTTACCTATTTAATTCCAACTCTGTTAAATCAATATCTGCAGTTCCCATAAAATCGTCTAAAACTCCACGATCATAATCAAACACTTGAATCACTAATGGATGTTGTATATCTTCCACTGACACAGAGAAATGCTCATCCCAAACTGGATTTAAATTTTTTAGTATAGTCCTACTCTTGTACAATGTCTTTCTTTTTTGTTTAAACTTCACGTATGGGTCACTTGTACCTGTGTATAAAACATGACAATAACATCAATATATAACAAATAAACATGACAATAATATCAACATATAGCAAATAAACATGACAATAATATTAATATATAGCAAATAAA